AAAAAAAAAAAAAAAGAAAGTGCTCATCCCTTTCACACTCAGATATGCTCAGACCTGGTTTGCAGGCTTTATAGATTCTCTGGAGTAGCTCTACGCAGCGTTCGTCTGTCCAGTCATGGAGGATTCTTGCCAGAATATAGAGTTCAGCTTCTGGTAGAGAGTCTTTGAAGAAGTCCCCTGAGAAAGAAAGAAAACACATCCATCCATATGAACATTTTAAAACTCCCTCCATTGAATTCCTAAGACACAGCTGCATTTCAGTCATCCAGTTCTAATGAATAGATTATGTGAATGGGAGTTCTAGGCTCTGAATTTAACCCTACAAGTCAAGGCTAAAGTGGAAAGGATGCTCTTGAACAGGTGAGCCATATGCATCTAGACATGCAGCAGTAAACAGAGCGGCCATGATTAAAAGTGTACGTTTGATACGTGTTGGTGGAACGAGTATGTCGAGTTAGTGACTCAAACTAGGCTGAGTGCTTCCCTTTGATTTAATTATTCCATGTAATTAATAATTCTGTTGACAAGCCTTCAAGTAGTAAGACATGATTCGATTAGTGGTTTACATTCTCAAACCTAATTACTACTAAAGGATGATGTCCATTATAAAATGCGTGCAACCTAAAAATTACTAGAGCATATCTCCAGCTGCTGTCTTGTGCTGATAGTTATCAGGAAAAAATTTTACTGCCAACACAGCACTGCTGCTGTAATATCAGCGTCCAAGCAGTAACAATTTTTTCTGTGCCCATTGTAAGAGTGTCTGCATATTTGCAAGTTGTGAAATAAAGCACACTGAGGCCAACACTCCTAAAAAAAGGCCATGTCACAGCTTCCATTGTGCTCAACACCATGATGGCTAGGAAAACAGCAGGAAGCAGTTTTGTGTCTGGGTTTAAGATTGCCATCTGCTGCAAACCTGCGCTCTGCCTCACAATAGCTGCTGTGCTGAAGGTAACAATATACATTTAAATAAAAAAAAAAAAAAGGAAGCAGGAAGTAAAAATTTAGTATTCTACCCAATGTTTTCCAGCATGCCACACCAACTCTGGGAGAATCACAGACTCATTTGACAACATCAAAATTCTCTTTCTGCTTGTTTTGAGATCAGTGATTTTAAGACATTATGCAGTAATGACAGGCATTACAGGCCAATATGGTTCAGACTTACTGGCCATTTTGTTAGGTACACCTGTTCAGCTATTTGTTAAATCTCTAGACAGCCAATCACAAGTAACTCAATGCTTTTATCCAATTAGACATTGTCCCTGCTGAAGTTCAAACATCAGAAATGTTGGGGGAAAGGATTTGAATGCAGCACAACCATTTGTGTCAAACAGGCTGGTTTGAGCATTCCAAAAATGCTGATCTACTGGGAAGGGTAGGCACAGAACTTTGTGTAAACAAGAAAGCATGAACCCATCCTATGATTCAAGACCTCTGCACTGAATCATACTTGTTATTAATCGCTGGCTCTCTTCCACAGCATATCTATTATCCTGTCTTCCTTCCCTCTCCCCCCAACGCTTCGCAGCAGGCATCCGCCTCTCCCTGAGCCTGGTTCTGCCAGAGGTTTCTTCCTGTTAAAAGGGAGTTTTCCCTTCTCACTGTCGCCAAAGTGCTTACTCATAGGGGGTCATATGATTTGGGGGTTTTTTCCTCTGCATTATTGTAGAGTCTACCTTATAATATAAAGCACCTTGAGGCAACTGTTGTTGTGATTTGACGCTGTATAAATAAAATTGAATCCTGCTTTGGATCAGTGGTTCAGACTGATGTAATGTGTATGAGATATTTGCTTGACACCCTTTGGGCCCTTTAGTACCAACTAAGCATCACTGAAACACCACAGCCTACCATGTGTACCCAACAAAGTAGCCAGTGAGTGTATATTTAGAGTTGGCCGAAATGGACACCGAGCTGGATATCATGCAGGTGAAGTCAACTTGCTGAAAACCGACCAAATGTCTGCTTTTATGTTTACCTTCAACTATTTTCTAAAAAAGCTGGAGAATTTGTTTTTGCAAAAGTCACTCAAACAGAATTATGAAAAAATATTCAAATTAGAATCCATGTTTTTGTGAACAAGGAAACATGTCAACTAGAAAAATGAAATCGTTCACTGATGTCTTTTGGGTAAGAACTGAAGAAAAAGTTTTAGCTACACAAAACCCTCATTGTCATTTCATTGGGATGGTCACATAGCTCCTGTCTTTAATTTCCATAACCTCAGTATCAGCCAGTTTTGTTGACAACCCCTTGCTCTGTTTATGCAATTTGCATATTTAGATCTTATCAAAATGCAACAGAACTGAGATAATGAGTCCTTTTAAAACCACATGTAAACACAAGAGCTCAGAGTGTAGACGGCTTGTCAATAACAGATGTGAATTATGTTATGGACACCAATCTATTGAGAAGAAAAAGGAAAGAAAAAACGCATAACAGAAAAACATGTTATATTGAGACTTACTCGATAAGTAATAATGGTGTTACCTTCATGAAAGCTTATCCTCTGGTCATCCTTGATAAAGTGTTCCTTCGACATGTGCACCACCTTGGGGAGGTCAAAGATTGTCACAGTGCATTCTGGGTAGGCTGACGTGCAGTGCTTGGCTAATGCCCCGCTGCAGCCTGGAGAGGGAGAATTACCATTAGTTGCAGCACAATGAATACAGTATTCATTAAAAGGACTGCATCACTCAAAAGTGCAGTCATAGAAGCGGAACAGATGCTTTCAGGTAGAATCTGGTTATTTATTTGCATGATTTGTATGCAGTGGCTTTGGGAATATGGTTGAGCTAACATTCATGCCAATAAAGCAGAGCAGAACAAATTACTTGATTCGACTAATCAGTTTTAGTCTGATTAGACATCTGAATATCAACCTTTATGCTGAATGCATTTGAAATCATTTTAGCTATGCAAGCTGCCTGTTCTCTCAAGCAACAGTCAGTGCACAAATTCCACAGCAGTTCATTTCATTATTGAAGTCTCTTTAGGCTGGGTAAACAAATGTTTCAAGCGCATAGAGGATTACTTTGTTTTCCACTTTGGTGACGGTCCAACTTTTCCTTTAGTGCCATTAGTAGGTCAAACCCTTCCACCAGTGAGGATATGGTGAGCAAGCAAATTTTTAGACCAGCTAAACATGAGCATGCAGGCATCCTCGGTGTGCATTTTAACACGACATTAGCATTTAGGAGTTCAAAAGAAGCCATTAGTGTTCCTCTGAGAACTTTGACTGAAAATCGGACTTTATGAGATGGGAAGAGGCTTTGAAATGAGGAAATGAACAAACGTGCACATGGGTGGAAACAATGACTTAATGTGAAAATATGAATCCTGCAACTTCAGGCTTTGGCAGCATCATTACCATCAATTATGCCTCATAAAGCAAACTGAATTTAAAAATTGAGAGTGACCGATATGGAAAGATTGGACAAGAGAAAGTTAGATTGAGAATGTATTGATGAGACCGAGTGAGGTAGAATACAAGATCAAAGGATTTCACTTTACACAAACCTACAAAGGCAATCAGACTCTGGGTGGTGTGTTTGTGGGCATATAGGCCAAACCATCGAGCCCTGTAGAGCCTTCCTCCTAGCTGTTGCTGCTATATTGTATTCTTACAGAGCTTTCTATAGCCCCTACAAACATCCACCTAATACCATATTTGGCTCACATCAAACAGGGGTCAGTAGAGGAGAAAAATCAAAATCAAAGCGCAACAAGGTGAAGCGAAGCAAAACCAAACACAGTATGCTGTTGGAGTCCCCCTCAGCTGACCCGACTGTCTCAGTTTGTTAATGAAATCCTTTGATGACAGTTTGAGATTATAGCAATACAACAGTTACTGCTGCATTTTAAACTAGTAAATGTCATCAGTGCAAGTTTCCCGAATTTTTGTCCACATGGTCATTTAAATAAAAATCATAAAGAATTAGGATTTTATTCTCATGGAGGTTTTTGTTCATTGGACAGTTTAAATCCATCAAACTCATTCTGGTTTGCACCCCAGCAGTATTGTGTCAGCTGGATATTGTTGACTACATCTGCAACCAACGCAGTCACAGAAGAGTTACTGAAGGGGCAACTTTATTTTGCACATCCCTCACAATGGGGAGTACTGCTCAGCCTGTGAACAGTCAAGTAATGCCTCTGTTGCTCTGGAGCAGCTTTCAGAACAAGTGTCAGCATAATCACATTTTCCCTTTATAAACCAGAAGGTCTTTTTCAGGCTGGGGAATGGAGCTGAAGAGAATTCCCTTTGGGGAAGGCCTAATACACCCCAGAGAGATGCATATTGACGAGTGTGCAGATTGAAGTGGAGCCATGCTAGGGGTTAGAGGTGAGGATATATTGGCCTTAAGATGTAAATATTTGACCGCCTGTCATTTGGAGTTGCCTCAATTTTATGGATGAACCAATTTAATTTCAGTCAAGTCATCAGAATGACACTGCTTTTTTAACCAAGTGGCATTGCCTTAATACTTTGAGATTTTGTTTGCAGTCTAACATTAAAACACCCTGTCCATCAGATATATTCTGATGTCGTAAAATGTGTTTGCAGAGAAACAAATTGATTAACATGAAAGTAGCTTGAAAGGTTTCAGTTTGCTTGTTATGCAGTTACCATTGATCCAAAGGAAACAATTAGTTTATGTGTAGGCGTGTACCTAGACATAGCTAGATTTGACTCCTAATAGACCAAATGAACCTCATTCACTTTGAATGGTGTCAGGGTTTGGGACACAGCTCACATGTCTGTTATAGTGAAGACATGTGACTTAACATTCATATCCCCACAGCAGGGTAGAAAATGTTTTCCCCACAAAAATTTGGCTACTTTTGAATGTCCTTTCTACAGTCAGAGCCAGCACTACCAAACCAGTTTCAGATCAGCACAAATGCCCAAATGTATACATGCAAACCAATTCCCAGAATTGGGCTAATTTGTAAGACATTACAAATTAGCCCAATGAATTTGTTTCAGTAGTTAACTTGGCTACATAAAGATGAAAATATAACTTTCTTTTTTGCTGCGACTACCTCTTGATACGTTTCACACATTAGCGGCATAGCCTAGAAGCAGACATTTCAACAGCTGTAAACACTAACAAGCTATAGTGGGCTTGTTTTTTGTTCCTTTCCTAGTTTTGTCATAATTTTCATTACTGTTTATAATAGTGTTTCTTAAAACCTTATTCCGCAAGTCTCTCATTAGAGAGATTCCCTTGGGGGGGCTATATAGAGAGAGATGTCTTGCCTAGATGGCAGTTTACATTTTAGAGGTTTAACAGTGGTTGTAACCTTTGAGTTGATTATCCATTTTAAACAAAAACATGCCTTTTAAATTGCCATTAAATGTCACATTAAAATAAATGTAAATAAACCCAGGGAAGGCTCTTTCCAGAGATGTGCACACAGTGTGGTTTGTAATCCAAACCAAATCAACTAGTTGACAGAGTGCTGGACAGAAAGAGCTCCTGAGCAGCAGGTGTGCACAGACACAACAGATGCTGTGTGAGACTGTCTAGATGGGATGCTGCAGTTGTGCCCTTGAGGCTCCTACCATTTCCCCAAGCACAAACTTTTCAGGGATGCAGCATCATGCATAAGCATGAACATACAAACCCATGCTGAGAAAGCCACAGAGGGGTGGGTAAAACACTGTACACATGTAGGGTTCCATGTGGGAGAGGTTGTTCTTTTATTGGCTTCACAGCGCCCCTATGTGGTAAGTAGTGGTGCTACAATGCAGCCACCTGTGGAACAGTGATAGTCAAAGTAGAGGCGGCATCTGTTCTCAGTGAACTAAAGGTCAGTATGGGTTCAGTGTCTGTTTAGTAGTTCACCCAGTTTGTACAGCGCAGATTCTCTTAAACATGAATACTGGACTTTCAGGGATAAGCATCAACATTTTAATGCAAGCACCACATTGAAGTCAGGTGGCTCTGCCCACTGACAACAATTGGTGCATTGTAATATCACCCAGTACTGAAGTACAGAGCTGAGAATACACTGAGCTCTTAGCTCAGCTTGATTCACATGATGGAAACTGACTCAATATCTCAGACAAAAGCCTTTTCCAGCTTTTATTCATAGTATTTAATTCCTGTGACTACCCTTTTATTTGTTCCTCTATGCTTCTTTTTGATCTGTTCCATTGTTGGCTGGCTTTCCTGCATATCTTTACAAGCTCTGTTCTTATTGTGTTTGTTCAGTATTTCTCTCCCTCAAAGTTTATTCATTGTGCCATTTGCTCCCCTTGTAAAGCATTTTGTAAGAAACCTGCTATTCAAAATACACTATGAATAAATCTGACTTAAAGCAGAACACACAGAACAGTGAAGAAAGCTTCCTTTCAAGTATCCAAAGACGGCTGACTGCTGTGAGCAGCGTCTAGTTTCACATTCACATAATTTTTTAAAAGAGGCACACACAAGCTGTTCAGTTCAACAGTTGTTACAATTGTATTTACTGGCTTATGCCTAATTCTAGTTTGTGGGAAACTTCTTGTGATAGGGTTAATAGGATATACATTTGTCATGCGTCTCCCTACCTGTAGAATCAAGTTAAATACAATCCACCAAAATGTTGGTGGTGTGTAAAGTGTAAACATTTGTTGCTCCAGTCTTGTCTGGAATGACATTCTAGCTGCTTAACCCTGGAAATCTGCATTTTGTTTAATGAGTCAAGTGTTTTGGTGGAAGCAGTACTCCAATGCACTGCAAAGCAGTTCAGCACCTGGACTCCACTGTGCTGATGTGATGCTGTTGTAATAGATGGAAAATGTGGCCTGGCATAATCTTACTGAAATGTAGAAGGCCTTCCCTGAAAGACATTTTAAGGAGCGCATCTGTTGCTCTAAAATCTGCATATGCTTTTCAGCACAGATTCTCATTTTCCAGATTTGGAAGTTACCAATAGTACAGATACTAATCCACCCTCATATCATCACAGATGATGATGAGGCATTTGAAAAAGAGTGCTGATAAGCCAGATGGTTTCTCTTTAATTCATATTTTTCCAAGAACTTAAACCACCATGGCAGCTAACAAATACCAAGTTTTGGCCTGTGAGGAGATTAACCCAGATGCTGGTTCTATTATACTGTAGATGTTCAAAGTGTTGACATTGAGGAATAGTCTGAGATTTTTCCACTTTGCAAATGTAATTCTTTGCAGACCGAGTATAAAAGAGCATCCTAGCTGAGTTTCACAGAAACAGCCAGCCAGCTTTTCAATCTTAACGACCTGTTGCCAATTAACTAATTCCAAGTCTTCTTTCAGCTGCCGAAATAATTCCAATAAATAAATAAAGTTTAAAAATACAAACTGAGATCGGGTTGCCTCGAATTCAAGCTGACCTAATATTTTTAAGGAATGAATCCATTTAAACATCTTTGTTGTTTGCGCAGGTTTTTTTCTTCCAGATCCTATCAGAGCCAAGTCATGGTTACTAAAAGTTAACTGAAGTCCTTGACTCAGAAGGTGTGGGGAGATCAAAGATGCGTACACTGCAAATGTGTAGCTGACCCAGCAGCTGCTCAGTTAGGACAAACTTGGACGGACTTATGGAAATCAGATAAAAACTTACCTCCAAGGTCGCAGATGACTTTGAAAGGGGAAAGGTCAAAGGCTGTGACCACATCCTTACCACAGATGTTCCAGATGGAGTGCATTAACTGCATAAATGTCACCATTTCCTCATCAGACCTACACACACGAGAAACATTAATACTTTCGTCTCAATGCATTGTAGAAAAAGCTTCATTTTCTGCAAGCGATCGCCAAAAGGAGGCTTCTTGCTGCCACACGCACGCACACACACACACAGCCTCTCGTACAAAGTCTTGCCCTGTGGAGACACCATGTTGTGTGCGTGAGAGACAGGGTGAGGCAGAACAGAAGAGCCTGTGGTGAATGCTGCTGCTCTGAGGAGTCTCCACCTCATCAACCAGCACTCCACCCTGCCATGAAGGCAATGTGCATACAAACAGCCTCCAGTTTGTAACAGAATTTATCCAAACTTCAGGGTAGCAAAAGCCATTTCCATCTGATGCACAAACCAGCTTCAGACGACACAGTGACCTCAAGAGTAACTTTGAAAGTGAATCATTGTTGCTTCAGACACTGACTGCACTGGATGGGAAAAGATGAAATGACTGTGAGGTCAAACAGCAGACTGTCATCTTCAATTTGAAAACATTTGGGGTATAGAATGATGAATACCCCCCAACGACAACCTTCAGTCGTTTTCCTTCATGAGGAATACATTTACTCTCATCCCATCTCTAGTTCCATTGAGTAAAATGTGCTTAGCCTGGTTTTCTGTCCTCGTCCACATCACGATATTAGAACTACATGACGCGTCTTATATTATTCAGCATCCCCCAGTCTCCATCATCTCTGCACTTGCTGGAGACCTAGCTAATGGCTTTCTGTTGCTCCAGCCTCTACCATCCTGGCTGCAATAGAATAGTTTGAGCAGCAATGTTTAAAATATGATTCACCAAGTGTTGTCATGTTTTCTGACAAACTATTACAGTGTATTCCTGCACCAACAGTTGATGGGAGACATGTGAGCCATGTTCCATTATACTGGAGCCAGTATAAAGTGCAATCCCACAGGTTCAGATGTTTAAATGCCCCAAAATGACAGCAAAGGTAAGCTTGTTTAGATTAAGAGTTATGGGGGGTGGCTGTAGCCTATTTCAAAGATCATTGGGCAAGACGTGTGTACACACACTGTACAGGTCAACAGTCTATTGCAGAAATAAGATTTACACCCATTTAAACATACGGGCAATTTAGAATTGGTTACTCCAGCATGCATATCTTTGGACTCTGGGAGGACGCCAGAATCCCCACACAGCACATGCAGATTCTACACAGAACTCCAGCCAGCTAGTCTGCATTTTAGAGCCCAGACAATATACTGATGGGGCCCATATTTTCAATTTGCAGATCTACTGTAGTGGCATTTATCATGGCAGATAAATTAAAGTTCCAAAAGGCAAACAGATGCCTTTCAGCCATGCTATGAATTATGTTTTATAGTTTGTTCACCAGCACAACTTTCCTGCTGGTAACAGCCACAACCAACCCAAGTCAAGTCAGTGAGAGGATTACAAGTAAGCCATGATTTTGTGACAATCCCAATCTTATTAAGGACTCAAATAACCAAGTTAGAGAAATCAGTTTTGCTCAGTGCTTCAACATCTGTATTTCCTGTCAATTTCATCCAGAAGCACAAATTCAGCCAGTGATCGTTTCCATTTATATGCAATCCTCAATTTGACAAGAAATTTGATTCTG